GCACGCATAACTTGGCGCTTAGCTGATGGCCGGTCGGCTCTACACCTTGCAGCAGCACGAGGCAACGTGGAAATGATCCGCAGCCTCATGAGAAAGAGTGAGCAAAATGAGGAAGCAGAGGCCCAGAGGCAGGTGCAACAAACGAAGCCTCAAGCGGCTGATTCCGAGACCGAATCACACGCAGAAGACGATGCAGAGCTCGTCAGTCGTCCATCGGAGGATGGCTCCACAGATCATGTCTCACACGCCACTGGATCCTTTGTCAAGGTAAAGAAGGAGGAACCAGACAAGGAAGAGCCATTTGCAGCCGATTCGGATCTCTCCGATCCCGACATTCATGATGTGAATGCGGTTGAATGGGACCTTAATACTTCCCCGCTACATCTGGCAATCATGAAAGGCCATGTGGACGCTGTCGAGGAACTGGTCACGGCTTTCGGGGCCGATGTGTTGCTTCCTGTCAAATCAACGAACGGCCCGAGATCTGCCAGCCTTACATTGGTCCTAGCTCTTGCATTGCCTCTGGATCAAGCAAAGGCAATGACTGCTAAGCTGTTACAACTCGGTGCATCTCCTGCCCAGGCAGACTCTGATCATAAAACACCTCTTCTATACCTTGCAGCCGCAGGGCACCACGATATCCTCGATGTATACCTACACTACGATCAGCCAGCCGTTGGGCGGGCCATAAATCATCTGTCTGTGGTGGAGATTCCACATCAAATTCTTTCTGTGCAATCGCCTCTTACAGCAGCCATCGGGGCAAAAAATTCGACTCTAGCGAGCAGGCTCCTCCAACTAGGCGCACATCCGTCGATAAGCTTTCAAGATTTCTTGAGCTCTGCACAGGTGTTCTCTTTCGTCCGAAATCAGTTAACCGCGGAAAACCGGACCCATTTCGAGGAACGCGTCGACCAGCCCGTCGTCTACGCGGCTGAGAATGACCTGCCGCTGCTGGCAATGGAACTACTTGCCCGCGGCGCCAATCCAAATACCCTGACTATGGAAGGATACATTGCGCTTGGGAAATCGTACCGAAGCCGGCAGACCACTGGTTCCTCATTGCTGGATTATGTTCGCACCAAGCTGGCCGCTCTCCGTGAGTACACCGGGGAGCCAGTCAAGGTTTCGCCGCCAGAGCCTCTGGATGCTGACGACAACTCATACCTGCACGAATTTGAGCCAGGCACATATCAGCATTGGAGGGCAAAGGGCGTACTCGCGGACGGAAGGAAGAACTTCAAGAGCAAGGAGCAGGAGTATTCAAACGCAGTAAACTCTGCGAGCACCATGGAGGGCCTGGAGGAAAAGAAGGCAGCGGTCAGAGAGCTTTTGAACGGCTTTGAACAGCTGGAGTCGGACTTGGTCCAGCGAGGCGCGAAACCATTCCAAGAACTTCACCCGGATGTTAAGCCAAACCAACCCAACAATTCTAAGAATTCGACCACCAAGACTTCTCCCTTCAGCATCACTCTGAGCTTCCGGGGACCTGACATTATAGGAGACAAGCGACTTGACTATCTAAAGCTGTAAGTAATGCTCTGTCCTTTTTATGCTAGTACTCACACTTCAAAGGTTCGAGGCCGCGTGGACTGGCGACCTTGACACGATTAAAGAGCTTACGACAACCATGTCTGATGATACTAGCTGTCGCCAACCTTTGGAAATTGCCATCTGCGATGATCGGGGGTATTCGGCCTTTCACATTGCCGTCATCCGCGGACACCTTGACGTTGCGTACGGGATTATGGCTATCGCTGCCGCTCAGTATAAGCCCCCAGAGGAGCAGCAAGCCCGGTACCGGATGCGCCAGTACGATTCAGACGATTACTCTGCTGAAAGCGACTATGATGAGTCCGACGTACCGCAACTTGAGAAAGAAATTGTGGAAACCGAGTGCACCATCGACAACGTCGGCCAGATCAAAACCGAGGTCGAAAGCAAAACGAATCCGGTAGCCATTCTGAAAGCGAACTGCGCTTTGAACCTTTTCTTAGAGGGGGCTACGAGAGGACCTGTCAACACGCTTATCGGTTATGCGATCTGGACCGATGACACTAAACTGCTGACCTCTCTCATTTCGCTTGGGGAGCAGCTTACTGAGAAATTCCCATATTATCCAGAGGATCCCCAGCCATACAAGATAACCGATGCCGACTTCCTCATGGCAATTCGACTCGGGAGATTGGACTGCCTGGAAATTCTCATCAAGCAAACTGGGACTGGGATCAACCTGGATGAGCTGGTTGAGAAGAGTGATATTGAGATCGTGGAAACTCTCGATCACTACCGTGGTCTTTCGGTGCGTGGCAAGAAGCGCGCGGACTGGGCGAGTCGCGGTCAGACGACTGGACAATCAGAGACTGAGCCACCGCTCCTTCACGCGGCGAGAACAGGGAATCTGGAGAGTGTCCAGTGGTTTTTGGGTCCTGAGCCGGCTCGCTGCTACAGCGCGTTCGTTGCGGCCTGGGAACACGACGAGAGGGTGCAACAACTTTCCACTACGAAGAAAGGACTGGAGCGGACGATCACTGATTTCCTGGATGCGAGACGTAAGCTCCCCATACTATCACTGTATATTTCCCTGAAACTGACTCTTTAGGCCACTTGGTTCTCCATTGCGCCATTCTCGCTGCAGAAAGACCAAGTTCCAAAGCTCTTGTGGATTATCTCGCCCACACCATGCGCCCTCTATTGGATGTCAAGAATGTAGACGGCTACACGCCCTTGGCCGTTGCATTCCGTCTTGGCCGCCTCGAGTTCGCCAAAATCTTAATACAAGCCGGGGCAGACCAGACAGTTCGGGACAACCAAGGCAACAATCTGCTACATCTGCGGCTCGGGAAAAAGAATCTATCGTTCGGTACAAGGGAGCCAATCCATGAGACGCTCGAACTAATCGATCCCCAACTCCTACGATCGATGTTGACCGAACGCTGCACGTCCTGGACGGGCACGCATACTCCCTTTGCGCTGTGGATATCACGGATCCCCTCCGACAACCGCCCCGAGGCCTTCAAGCAGCTGGCCGCGGGACTAGAATTAGTCAAGCCTCTAGCCTCTAAACATCTCGAACTCCTCAACAATTCAGGAGATACCCCAGCCCACGATGCGGCGCTGAATTCATGGGAGCAGACCGACTTCCTCCTAACACATCTGCCTGAGCTGGCGGTCAAGGAGAACGTCAACGGATTCACACCGGCAGACCTTGCCGAGCAGAAATGGTTCGCGGCGGCGATCAAGCCTCCGTCTAATCCAGCGCAGACGGGATATCGCAGCCTCGGCGTGGGCGCGGTAGGGAGGGCACCGTGGACGTTTGTCCGCACGTTTGGGGAGAGGGTCACACTAGACCAGAAGTGGAAGACGTATGAGCGGTGTTGTGTAAGAGGAAGCGAGGGCGAAGGCGTTGAGTGGGGAAGGAAGCTTGTGACGCTTTTCGAAGCGAGTGAATTCGCCGCGGCGTCTTATGCGCGGTTCCGAACGACCAGGGCGCCTTGGAGGCCGCGGGAGACGGATGAGATTAGCAAGTTCCTGGACCTGTAGTTTTTACGTCGAACAATTTGCTCAGGATACCCAATGCATTCACTTTATACCCTCAGGTCCCTGGTTTATACGGGCTTGGAAGGCTAGTCTGTCGTTACTGGTTTTCCTTCACATAATGCGGTGGATATGTGGGCATTGCTGCTGCTTCCCCCTGTGGCCACCAAGGACGATGTCTAACATCGGCTACGGAAGAGCGCGATGCGGTGCCGTTCTGCTGTGATTTGCTTGATATCCCGTCCGAGGTCGCCACAAGTACCAGGACCATTGAAGGTGGGCCGACAACCATCAGGACGACTGGCTGGACAGCTATCGGGACACCACCACGAGCACCAGAACAGAGGATATCACCTCCACCAGCAGCTACCTTGTACGCCACGGAAACCAAGGACGAAGCCCGGGATTGTGACCGTGACGGATTACTACACTGCCGCCATCACTGATGCTTCCATGTCGTCCCGTTCTGGACCTGTCTTTGCCGCGATCACCAGGTCGTCACCGATTCGCTCACTATTATCATCATTTCCTACATCCCTGTTTCCGTCACGGATTGGGACATAGTGACCATCACCGAGACCTCGAGACCCTCACCGAGTTCGTGACGGATTATACCACCACCACGGAGACGGGTATCATCACCAATCCCTCAAAACAGTCTATGCCACCGTCTTCCATGCCAAATATGTCACCAGCCGCCCGACTGAAACGAAGACTGCCCTCGTCACCAAGACCGTTGGAGGGCCCGAAAATACAACCACTGTAGTTACTGACCTGGTTACAGTAAATAGCACCTCTATCGTCACGGATCTCGTCACGAAGACGGTGATTGAGTGGCACATTGTCCTTACCTCGTCACCAAGACTGCTAGAGGGCCCGAAACTACAACCATTGGAGTTAGCAACCTGCTCACGACGAGAACTTCCTCGATTACTCCGATAGATGTGGACGATTTTAGTGTTGGTGGTTCTTGTCGCAACACGCCTCTATAAGTGCCCAGTGAGATCAAGCCCGTCTCCATAGTCTTTTGTACATAGCCAGATGTAGAAGTTTTAGTATATAATTCTTGACCTTAAGGTCTTTCTCGTAGGTATTTACCACATTTGACACTACGCTGGACTGCCAGGTGTTTGTACACCAGGTTTTCCACGGGGATTGGGTGGCTTGGGATGTATATATTCCCGCCCCACCGGGTAGATACACTGCGACACAACGGAATCCAATCCCCACTCCCACATAGCGCACAGACTCAGTGGTCGGACCCGCCAGGAACCCGAAGGAAAGAGCAGCGGTGGGCCTGGAATGCATATCCCTTTTCAGGGAAACGACACGGCGTTCGCGATCGACAGACCAGCGCCTGTTATCGTCGAGGTAAACATCAGCAAATATATGCACAGCAGGATGGCTTGCTTTTCTCTTTAGAGGTTATAGTCCTCTAAGTGGAGACCCAGACATCAAGATCCGGTCGACTGGCCCAGTGGTTAAGGCATGTGCTTTACACGCACAGGATCGCAGGTTCGATCCCTGCGTCGATCAATTCTTTTTTCCGCCTTCTTTTTTTTCCCCCTCTCCCCTCGCCTGCTGGTCCCAATCAACCCTCGTTCTTTCCCTCTTACACGATTCCTGCTTGGAAATCTCTCGTCCTCGTATCTGTATCCTTTTCCAGTTCCTCATCAAGGTCCAACGATCTGCGCCAACCCCCCCGAAGGAAAGCCTCTCTCCACGTCACGGCCCCTGGATCGTCGCCCACGCGGCCGTGGTTGGCCGGAGAACAAACGAAGGGGCGTCTCCAACGCGAAGGAAAACCCTAAACGCAGATGCGCAGCTATATTCTTGATCTGCTCGATCCTCTTGCGCCTTTACTTGCTGCCCGTTGCTCCTTGGGAGGCAATGCAGTGAGGACCGACGAGGGTTATCTGTCCATCCATGACTTGCAGACGTCACTTCTCTTCCTTCGCGCGCCTACCAAGGAGGATATTCACACTGCGCCGTATTCCCCTGCGTCATAGTTGGAGTTTATCGGCGACGCTCCGCATATCTCCATGTCTCGACGAAACAAACATGGATATCGATATCCTCCTTGACTTGGGAGGGAAGGCTCGACGCGGACGTCGACGCGGCCCTGTCCTTTCCTGCTCTGCTTCCTGCCATCCCTATTCCCCTGCAGGTTGCAAGCAGGCACATAACTCTATAAACCCCAGATTCTGATAAATAAAAATGCCCGGCGCTTCTCTCCGGATCTCTGGACTATATCACGCCAGTCCATGTAATCCCAACCCATTCATCCATGACCTGACCTAACCGATACAATGCCCCCCGACTCCGACTTCACCGTGATAATAGTCGGCGGCTCAATCGCCGGGCTCACACTCTCGCACTGCCTCAACGCCGCCGGGATACGCAACATCGTCCTAGAGAAGCACGTCGAGATCGCAGCGCAGGTCGGGGCGTCGATTGGAGTCCTGCCGAATGGAGGCCGCATCCTCGACCAGCTCGGTGTATTCCCGAAGATTGAGAAGCTCATTGAACCGCTTACCTCTGCGCATATTTCCTACCCCGATGGGTATACCCTCACGAGCGATTATCCGGTTACGGTTAAGGAGCGGTGTGTTTTCCTCTACCTCCACCTCTACTTCCATACTTCAGTTCGAGTCAATTAAGTGTCCAGTTGGCTAATATGTGTTGGTATGAATACAGCTTCGGCCGTCCCATGGCCTTCCTAACCCGCCAAGAACTCATCCGAGTACTCTACGACTCCTTCGAGGATCCATCGCACATCCACGTCAACCAGCGCGTCGCGCGCGTCCAGCAGGGGAAGGACAGTGTCCGCGTAACCACAGAGGACGGCACATCCTACGAGGGCGACCTCGTCGTCGGCGCAGACGGCGTGCATAGTAAAGTCCGCGCGGAGATGTGGTCGTTCCACAACTCGCCGGAGCTGGCGAGGGTTGCGGTGAGGGAGCATAGAGGTACACACACCTTCCTTCTACTTCATTTCCAAGCTTCAAAGATGGTATATGTATATGTATATGAGATCTAACATATATGCAACAGCCCTAACAGTCGAGTACTCCTGCATATTCGGCGTCTCATCCGCAACGCCCGGCCTTAACATCGGCGAACAAGCCGCCGCCTTCGCAGACGGCTTCACGATAATGACCTACCTGGGCCTCGGCGGGCGCGTGTACTGGTTCGTCGTCGAGAAACTAGACCGGAAGTACACGTACCCGCACATCCCGCGTTTCACGACACAGGACGCCATCACGGGTTGTGAGAGGTTGGGAGGTGTCTGGCTGCGCAATTCGGTGCATTTCGCGGATGTGTGGAGGAATCGCGAGACGTTTGCTATGACAGCGCTTGAGGAGGCGGTGCTGCGCCCGTGGAGCAGTGGGAGGATTGTTTGTATTGGGGATAGTATTCACAAGGTAGCCCACCGACCACTCCGCCATATATCAGTATGTCGAGTATAGGAGTGGATGATATTGACGACATGTACAGATGACGCCCAACCTCGGCCAAGGCGCAAACCTCGCAATCGAAGACGCCGCCGAACTCGCCAACACGCTGCACGCGATGCTCACATCCCGAACCCCAACCCATCGAAACCCCAGCAGTGCCAGCACAGACAAGTCCACCCACCCCCGCAGACCCTCCACCCCGCAACTCACCTCCCACCTACAATCCTTCGAAGCCAACCACCTCGCCCGCGCAACGCACATCGTCCGCATGTCCGCGCTAATGTCGAGATTACACGCGCGTCAGGGCCTCTTCTACACATTCCTCGGCCGCTACATCGCGCCGCTGTTCCCGAGTCTCCCTGCGGAACTTATCTCGGCGGTGGTCCATGGCGCGCCGGTTTTAGGGTTTCTGCCTGTGCCGCCGAGGGAGGCGACGGGTTGGGTTCTTTTGGAGAGGGGGAGGGGGGTTTTATTGGGTGTTGTGGCTGTTTTTGGGTGTATACTAAGTGGGGTTGCGTTTTTGCGGTTCGTCCGATGAGCTTGTTCTGTTTACCACCGAGATGAGAGTGTTGATCGCTTCGTGTGGCCTGGAGCCGCAGTCGGTGCGGGAGGGTAGACAAGCTCAGTCGCGTTTGTTATTCAGTCTGATGAAAAGTAGAAGTAGATATCCCGTCGAAGAATTATATACTTAGAATTAGTTTATATATAGTCTATGTCTATCGAAGAGACGCTAAGATACAGCAAAGCCATACGATAGGTCAAGAAAGGTATTAAACCGAAAGATATAAAAAGGGCAACCAGAAAGTCTCGAATCTCGAATCTAAGCCTTGCACATGCGACCAGAGTCTGAAACAGTCCAGTAATCACTGCTGACACCCTTGAGGACATAGAAGAAGTTCTCGGGATCCCACTTCGCCTTAATCTTCGCGAGAGCCTCGTAGTTATCGCCGAAGAAGACCTCCTTCCAGTTCGACTGGCGGAAGTTCGACTCGTTCTCGTACGCGCCGGAGTTGGGCGTTGCAGCCTCAAGCTGGGGAATCAGGTCATCCGTAATATGCATCTGGGCAGCGACCATCTCGGCCCAAGGGGCAGTCTCGTTCCACGAGCTGCCGATCTGCATGGTGACGGCAGCGTTGCGCCAGGGGGCGAAGATGGCGTTGGGGACGTCGTTGGTCTCCGCGACGTTGAGTCCGACGCCGACGGCGACGACGCCCTGCGAGGTGATGTTGCGGAGGGCGGTGGCGATGGCCGCCGAGTTGGTCTCGAGGTTATTGCGGGAGAGGAGGCGGCCGCCGTAGTTGAACTCGCCGACGCCGAGGTTGCCGTTCGGGAGGGGGCCCATGTACTTGTCGTAGTGGTTGTAGTAGTCGTCGTACTGGGTGTAGGTCTCGGTGTACTTGATGCCTGCGTCGGTGAGGGCGGTCAGGAAGGGGTTGAGGACGTCCTTGACCTGGTCGGTGGTCATGTTGTATGCGGTGAGGGGCTTGATGAGGAAGACGCCGGGGAGCATCTGGTAGATCACGGTGGTTCCGGCGTCGATCATGGCGGGGAGGAGCTCGTGGAACTTTGTGATGATGTCGATGTAGGCCTCATCGGTCATGCTGGCCGTGCTGAACGAGACCTGGGCGCCGGAGACGATGGTGTTGACGTAGGCCTTGACGGTGGTGGAAATAACGACACCCCAGTTGCCGGCGCCGCCACCGCTGAGAGCCCAGTAGAGGTCGGTGTTCTCCGTGCGGGAAGCAGTCACGACCTTTCCGGCGGCGGTGACGACCTCAAAGGAGAGGGTCTGGTCAGCGCCCAGACCGAAGCTGGTGCTGAGCGCGGAGTGGCCTCCACCCTGGGTGTATCCTCCGGCAAGACCGACGGTCGGGCACTCGCCACCGACGACGACGTGGCCCTTGGAATGGGTAGCCTCGAGCACCTGGTATCCGAGCACACCACTGCCTAGCTTGTAAGCGGGGCCAGAGTAGGTCGAGTCGGACCAGTCGAGGTATTCGATGCTGTTGAGGTTATGGGTCCAGACGGAGAGGGCACCGGCGCCGGTGGACCGACCTAGGTAGCTGAACAGATAAAGTTAGCTATGCCTCGATGAGGAAGGGATGACAGCACTCACTCATGACCGGTGTTCTTAATCACAAAGCGAATGTTGTTCTGCTGGGCAAACTTGACAGCTGCGACGGCATCGTCGCTCGACTCGACGGCAACAGCGTAGCTCACGTAGTTGCCGAGCTCACAAGGGGTGGACCGGTCGGTGAAAGGATCACAGCTGCGGTTTGCGAAGAACTGCTGCATGATGGAAGAGGAAGAGGGGTAGCTGGACGGGGGCGGCGAATTAGCATTCCGCGATCGGCAACAAAACAAACAACAAGCCTTGGATGTGCGACAACATACTGGGTTTGCGGGTAGTTCCAGTCGGCCTGGAGCGCAGCGCAGGCGGCCTCATCGTAGTTGGGATCGTGGCAGGGAGATCCAATGGGAACCGTGGCGATCAGCCGACCGCCCACGGTGCTGTTGAGGGCATCCCATTTATTCGACGCAGGCCAGCAGGGGTCCTCGGGCAGGCAGTGGCAAGAGGTATCGCGGGGCTTGCAGGAACCCGCAACGGCGTTGGAGACGAGGAGCGCCGCAACGGCGGCCGAGAAACCCTTCATTTTGACGATGATGAAGTCAGAAAGAACTCTGGGTCAATCGTACGGCAGATCCTGTCAGATATACTTATACTCCGTGTCTCGCCCCCAAGTTCCAGAGTACGGCTTACTCTGCTCTCGGAGATTCCGTGAGCCACGTGTCGGACGTGTTCCCCAAAGCCGTTAAGAGGCGACACTAGAGCCAGCTTGGCCCAATAAAAATTATGCAGCCCCAGTTAAGCTCCTCTTTATGCGCCTCGAGGCTTATCCATGAATCGTAGACCGAGGTTCCGGTGGTGGGTTTCAAGAAGCCTTTCAAGCGAAATTGCGGACCTAAGGTCCTTGTCGATGTACTGACTCGGGGAAGTTGGGAACGAGCACTCGCGAGTCGTGTGTCGCCGGCGGCCGAAAACGGCCGAGCTCCATCGGATGGAGTCGAGTTGAGGGA